AATGATACATCATGGGAATGCCGAATTACAAAAAGTTTAGAACAGAATCAGCTTCTTAGTGTGGAGTCCGGTTAAACCCTGGTGGTAGCTATGTTTGTTTTTATTATTAGACGACGCTGACGCCCGTAATCATTCCATATTTGGAATTCGCATTTCCTTATATGGTAGGTTGAAAATACCGCAAAGTTACGGCACGCTGCAACTTTCACGGTGACAGATGTCTAATAATTGACATAATACAGGGGTGATGTTGGAAGTCACTACTGGAATCCAATAAAAGTTTTCATAATTGAATAAAAATCGCATCACATTCAATATTTCGAAACGATGTGACAATACCGTGTTACGATTGGCTATGAAGATGAGGCAGGTCGACTGTGGTCAGTGGCTGATGACATCAATAGTACTCAATGACAATAAATCACAATTGTTTTCCATGGCAATCACCACGGCCAAATGAATAATATACTAGTACATGTTTTAAATTGTGAAATACAGTAAATGTTAAATCTAAATATTCAGGGGAGCTTACTAGATTGTATGCACAGTATATTTATAATACTCGTGTATCATTCGAAAAGAAGAGCTGTCATTGGCTATAAGAATTTTTAAAACAATTGGTGCCAAAAGCATAATCGTTCTGATTGGTCAAATGGTTTGCAACCGATCGTTATTGTATCGACGTTTTCCTTTAACACATTGCCTACAACTTGAACTGGTCAAGATATTTATTGATATTGACTCTTTAATGGAAGCAACAAGAGGGAAACGAGTTAAAAATTTCAGATTTAGACATTCTATAAAGTAACTAAGCATGCTACTATAACAACCTATCTGAATGTTCACATAAAGACGAATACGGTAGCGCATATTTTGTACCAATTTTTGTCCAAGGGATTACTTAATTTCAGTTAATTTCGAAGGTCGCATAAATCTAAAGGTGTTTTACAAGACAATGTACAAAATGCTTGACTCGTTTTGGGGTATCTATGCTTTAATATTCTAAGTAGAGCCTGTCGAAACTGCCAAACAGATTGCTGATAGCATGTCTGTGCTTATTTGGTCGTTACGAGCGTCCCATGAAAATTCACAGTTCATTCGCATGACTGACAGTGTTTAACACGACAATAGCTAAATTAGCCGTCATGTAATCCCTTAGACAAACATTGGTAGAACGTGTACACTACCGTGTTCACTTATATCTAAGCTTTCAGGTGATACATGGGTTGTTATAGTAGCTTTAAGATATTACCTCACAGATCATGTTTTAACTCGTGTTCCCCAACGTGACACTTCTACGTTCAAGATAAACATTCTGGGTGTCAGTAAAAGCCTCTGGAATTGGACTGATTCAATATAGTATAATTTGTCTCTAAATAAGTATGTGTTTTCAAACCGATTTTTGAAATGTTAGTTTATAAATTTGAATTCAATTAAAGTTAAATTTGTCAAGAGTTTAACTCATTATGTCATAATACCACGTACAGGATTTGATACATGATAATAATAAACTGTGAAAACTCTAACCATTAGTCATTTACATTCTTTCGAATTAGATATATTTCTTCAAAATACAATCTTGCGAAGAAGGTTGATAACATGTATAACACTTATCATTTATAATGCAATTAGAAGAGTATCAGGATCTTTGGTTGCTAGGCCATCGACCTTTTTGGTTACCAGGCCATTGACCTCACCTGTGGATTTCGCTCTGATGTGAGAATAGAGAGAATATTTACGAGTTCTTTGCGAATTTGCAGTTTTATGCAGAGTTTCATTTTTGCTGAACATTGTTATTGAGGTAGTGAACGATGTATTTCAACAGACATGGGAATTATTCGAAACGTCTCAGCAACGACCCAATATGTGTATCTCTGAGAGGAAATGTTATGCAAATCTATAACCAAGTTTATGGACGACTTATTTAAAGATTTATGTAATGATCTTAGCGGAAACTGAAACAAAACAAATGGCTGCAATTGTCACTTACATGATGAAACCAGCACGATTTGATGTCATGCGGTACAGGGTATTACAAAGTACCTAGTTGGGTCGTTTCTGATTACATGTGACTTCCCAAATGACTTGTTTCCAACGCTGTGCAAATCGGGGCATCAATGAATCCACGGTGTTAGCTGGGTCACGAAAACTTTACGGTCAAGTACCAGTCTTCATTTTATAAGAGCAATCATGCTACCACTCAACGTCATAGCAAACACCTCATATCTCAATTGAATACATATAGCTGATAGATCTTTAAAGATTTCTTCATAACGTGTATTGTTTTCAGCGGATTGAAATGGGGGGAAATGGACATACTCGACAAGAACTTATTACTCTGGACATCAAATTGCCCGTACGACTCTAGTGTCAATACGTTTTAGGCCATCAACGCTTTTATGGTCAATTGCTTCTAAAGATCGCAGCGTTTCCGTTGTGATAACTTAAGAACTATTAAAACGGTTTCCTTTATGGGGAGCGGGATACCAATGCAACATCCAATGCCATTGTTGTTCTTAACGGGAGGTGTTATCCACCAAAGTCGTAAACCGGCCAATTCTTCAACAGGTTGTTGTGGGTGCAAATATCCTGTGAGCGGACCGATATAAGTCATGCCGACGACCATGGGTCAAGGAACGGTGTCCGAAGCGATATACAGAATGACATGGCCTAATGGGGCAGTTAAAACAGGTATCACGGCTCAAAATGGGTACAAAATAGTGCCGTACTCCGAATCATTGCCACAGAAATCCTTGAACACTATACAGGGGATGATATAATTTACGATTACGAGGTACTCGAAGGCTGCCACTCGGCTGTGGACCGTGCTCTGCACGTACAAGGCCAGATAACAACCATGCATTATCTATTTCAACTAATTAATATCAAGTAATTATATTAAAATTATAATTATTTTACCACTCAGGGTGTCGGTTAATATAAAATCGCGAAAATAGAATGAAAAAGATTTGTTTGAAGCAACGGATCGGGTAGTAAGTACAGTGTGCACTTTATCCAGTGCCTGGTAAAAGTAGGCGCAGTTCAAATCAAATATGCAAATAATACGTGTGCTCGATCCACTTTAGCAATCGGCTTAATTTTGAAAATCTGATAGTCCAATCTCGTTCAGTCTTACGTCTCGAGTCGGAATATTCGTCGTCATCGTAGGCCGACACGGAGACATTGCATGGACTCGAGATAAAATCGCATTTTCCCAAGTTGTAAACATTTAAAACCCACAATCGGAGAGCATCACCTTACTCGAGGAGGTGTCATTCAAAACTAATGTGCAAGAAAACGATTTTCATCGACTCTGTTTATTCAATGTATTGTGCTAGATTAAAATGAAAATACTAGTACCCTAGAAAGGAGGCCCACCTGTGGAGGTGACATTATAACAGGTATATACACAATAGGGGGAATTCCAATATTGCAAATGTATCCTCATAGAAAGAATCCTGGCTGTGCATTTTCTGTAGTTGGCTTTGTTATTTGACGGAACTGGGACGGGGGCTGATACCTATGCTCCCTTTAAAATGTATATAAACGATTTGCGTATATTGTTTCGCATCAATCATAAAATGGTTCTTCTTTTCTTTTTTTTTAAAGTAGAGTACAAGTTGATTATACTAGTTTAGCATCCTGGTGTTGATGATGGGGCTTATATGGGAGCTGACCTGTATCCTTTTAAGCAGTCGACGCTTGGCTGACTTGTGTGTTTTTCACGGCAAACAAGACTAACTTTTGGAATGTTGATGTTTTTTCACGTTGCATGGAGAAGAAGTAATGCATTCCATGCGCAGTGCAGGTCTTCTATGAGTGTTTTATCACCGCTTTGTTCAGCTTCTGTGCCCCTTTCTCCTTTTGTAATTTTGTATTATTTTAGAAATATGACCCTGCCTGAAAGTCCAGTAGTTGGAGCACAGACAGAACGACAGTTGTTCGGAAAAATCACAGCGTAACATTCGCTCGATCTGCTCAATAATGGTCTAATTTGCGATGTCTTGAGTTGTGATCATCCAGTGCGCGACTATCAATCACCCAGAGTCACAGTACACTTGTGTATGGGGGGGCTTCTGAGTCTACTTCAGACGTTCTAGTACCCACCTCGATCCTTGCAAATTGCCCGAAAGCGGCCACTTAAGTTCTTTTGCCTGACGAACAATTATAGTGTAAAACAAGCCCCTTTTTGGGGGCAAATGAAGTCGGTGCGGTCAGGTAGCACAATCTTACGTGTTGTGCTTAGTGGAATGTCTCCCCAGACCCAAAGGTCATTCCTTCAATGGCCATGTCTATCACTACGTTAGGGAGCGCACGTCTAGTCTTACCCAGCTGGAGTAAAACCAAATTACGCATTCCGTCCGAAAATTAAAACGTGAATTCGGCATTTCAAAACCTGCCCACATTTTTTTTCTGCGAGTTCACCACGAAAATATCAAATCAGTGATTTCTAATGTTTATGAAAAACATTGTGGGAATACATCAATAAGAAAATACGGGAAACCTTTATTATTGGGGTGATTATAAAGTATTTCCCCCTGGATTGTTTTCATCGCGCCAGATTCTAAAACGACAACTATAGTTATGTGTGTTCACTATATTATGTCTGCACAAGTTATTTAAATATTTAATGCAAACAGAAATACCTGTCATATGCAATTCTGTGAAATACAACAAAAATATTCATAATAATATTATTATAAATTGATGGCATTATTAAAAGACAATCTTGAAAAGAAGACAAAACCACACCGGTTGTAATTTAAATGGTTTAATTGATTTGAGATGTGTTCGACTATAATGAGTTTCTCCATATCGGGTATATGGTTCGACTTATCGTCAAAATAAGCGATTAAACGTGCTTCAATTTATATTTAAATATATTGGGTATTGTCACAACAAGTTACTAAAAGTTAATACATCAACGATTGTCAAATGGGACCCTGCATTATGTCGACATTTTGTCTATTTGTAATTAGTGAGTCTCTATTAAGAGTTTTCCCGTTTCATGGAATTCTTACCGTGTAGTGCTCAATAGCCTCCAACGCCCGCTTATATCCATCGGCAGAATATATACACATCGCACTGAGCAGTTCAAATATTGGTTTCTTGACTTTAACATCTTCAGTATCCAGGCCTGTAGATGGTCACATGTGAGATAGAAAGAAATAAACAAACAAAAAAAGTTTGTCATTTTTCTGATATTAATAGTCATGATAATAGTTTCTCTTTCTAAGCAGTTCGTTAACGCTCGAGAAACCGATGAAATCCGGGTGCGGATAACGGGTTGTATCTCAAGTGACTCCGATGCATGTTGGGTAACCGGGAGAGAGCGATCATCCAACAATAATAATAAAGTACAATGACCCGGAGTGTAAATTATCACTGCTGTAATTGGCAAAGAAAACTCAAGTGTATTATTTATCGATTGTGTTATGCGTTTACATCGGACAACTTGCACGCTCATTTTTTTACTTCATCTATTGTAATTTCTAGCATATAGACACGTCTGCAAAGTAGTCATACTTTGATGGGTGGAATAGGCATGGCAAGTATGACGTATGCCTGAGACTAGGTCAAACAATTCTGGGCGTGGTCATCCGATGAGCTCTACGTTATGGTGCGAATGTAAGTCCACCAACCTCAATGTGTACATTTCGACGACATTAACGGTCATGCCCTTACTTAGCAATGCAATTGGTGAAGGTGTCATGACGTGCACACTGCACGAGGTTCAAATTATCATAATATCTTTAAAATCAAATGTTATGTTTACTTCATACACGTGTTAGCCTAGAAGCGCTGCATCTCCCCGGTATGGGATATTGTCTGTCGTTTTATTTGTAATATACCTGGCTACAGAGCCTAATAACCGTAAAATTAGGCACTTCAATCATAGACCTATTTTGGCATACCAATAGTAGAAGGGTGTATCTGTCCAGATTGAGCTGGCTTCCGAATTTCGCTTCGTGTGACTTCGTGGTGAGGACATTATAGTAGTTTGTTTAGAATAGTAAACTATATAAAAAACCAAAGTTTTGATTTGCGTCAATTAGATTTTCAAAAGCGAAAAATCTTGTGTTAATTGACGCCAATGCTTTAATTTGGCTCCAACTGGGTTGGTCCACGAACTATATGTTAAATCAGGGAACTGTAAACAATAAACGGATTCAATCTCTATGATATTTGAGTTACTTCGGTCACCAAACAAGGGAAGGGCATTAAAAGCTCTACAAACTATACACAATCATATTTTGTTCAAATAGTCCACACCGAGCATATACTTCTACTATCCCGTGACGAACGGAGCGAGTTTGCACCCACGCACCTAGCAAACTTCAGAAGCTTATCGGGGCGGATTTACAAATAGTGCCATACAATAGAACGCCCTTTCGTCCGTTCGCCAGAGAATCATATGGGATTGCAAAATCATTGATTGTATTTGTCCCCTGTCACTTCAAAGGTTGTACCTTTATGATGTGACAAACCCCGACCGCCGCTATGTTCATACCACCAATCATTCAACGTCCATTCTGTACCCCCTCTTCACTGGCTCCGATCCAACGGTTATAGGCGATAAATTTCCGTCACATCTCGCGTATGGGTTACCTACATGCGAGGTTAAAATTGGCGATGGGATTGTCCGCGTAGTATATCGCGTTAGTTTGGCTAATTTCACTGGAATACCGAACGCATGCACAATAAGTATTGTGAAAGTCAAAAATGAAATGGCAGAATCGATCATGGCGGCTTTTTAATACATCGGTCTAACGAGTAGGTTGGTATATTCCCACCGGGGTTTACCATACAATGTCGTGATTTCAAAGCGAGGAATTCTCAGCTAATACCTTTGTCAACAGGACATATGCTGTCACCTTCTCCGTATCTTAACCCGTTGCTCCTTCCCTCGTATAATTATGTAGGTCGAAATTCACGGTGGCCAAAACAACGATATCAGAAGGGTTTTTCATAGGGTCGTCACCCGCTGTGCGTTTAAGGTCATATTTGTTGTGCTTTGAGAAGAAGGCAAGGCAATTCATAAAAAAGAACTGGCCAGCGCTAATAAAGAGTGCATGATGTCATCATTTCCATTGGTTTTAATCTAATTATCACATTCGTACAACTGACTTGTTTTGGACAATCGGCGTTTTCTTGTATAAACAGTGAGCCCCCTTCTAGAAAAATGTTGGACGGCGAATCGCCCTCTCCCGTGACTTCACTCAAGGTGACTTTATGGTAGTAACTTTCCACGAGAGTATTTAGTTGCCATTTGCGTCGTCCCTGGCTGCTGTTTGTAAAGGTGTGTTAGTCGTTGGCCAAAAAAGGTGTCAATGGCAGCCTGAGAAAACAACAAAAGCTGCCCGATAAGTTTGGTGCTGTTTCTCTTTTCAGCGCCTTTCATTTGATTCCTTCACGCGCTTTTGTCCTGTGAAATTAGCCGACCTGCGTCCTGACAGGTTTACCAGTCGTCGGCATAGGGGACACCTTATAATGGTTGCACAGTATGTTGTATTCAAGGCAACTTAGGCGATTCTAACAAGGCCTTCACAATTGCGTTACGTGTTAAAAAACATTCACTCGAAACTGAAGGCCACAGGCCACACCACTGTGTGGCAACCTTGTGTGGATTTTTGACCAAACTTATTTGGGACGTGGACGTACCTGTTGCCAGTTTCTGCACACAGTCGGCATTGTCGATAATAAAGTCTATCCCAGCTTCGGAATTCATCACCGCTTTGATACACCAAATACACTCGAGCTGTAAATACGTATCGGGCAGTCGTTTCTTCACGTCCCCCTTTTCACATATTTGCCGAAAAGATTCCAACAGTACGCCAATGCCGTCCACCTCCAGAAACTCCTGGATCCATTCCGCGCTGCCGAGCTGGAGTCTACGTTTCAAAGCCGAGTATTTCTGTGTATAAATTGAGAAAAAAAAGGGAACTGACAGTTGTAGCAGGGTATCTAGGCTGTCTCACTGCGGGCTATTTGCATTGGTAGAGCGTGGTTCACCTGTGTGTGAGCGACAATATAGTTTCAGGGCCCAACACACAGCGGCGCTATGCACTCAATGGCCCACACCTGAGAAGCCCTTTTGTGCAATCTCATGTTTCACCGTATCTTTAACCCCACACCATTTCTATACAATGACACTATGGAATAATGGACTCAATGACGATCAACGTATAGGAAAGCCGCACAATTTCTTCAAACAGAAACAAGACCGCTTCATGAAAAAAAAACGACTTAAACGGGAAAAACTACAGATCGCGTAAATTAGCTTTACACAGGTATCCACATGGCGACGAAAGTCCAGGCACCGGCATGGGGAGTGTGCTTTGAATTAACCCCTACTGTTTGTCTTCGCTAAACACACAAAGTCGTATTCTTTGCGTGTTTCCCCAGCACTTTTCGACCTCAAAAGAATATGCAGAGATCGCGACATGTTTGAAAACTCGGACTTGAACTTATTGAAAAGAACAAAGCATGCCCAGAATCAAGTACTAGCGCTTGCGTTTGGACTAACGCGTATATCTAACAATGTTTTTTTTTCTTCTTCTGTCAGCTTCAGTCAGTTGATTCAAACAAAAGAAACGATCTGTATTCGCATGAACAGAAGTTGAAAATCGAACCCTGTTACCTGGAAACTGAAGCGGTAGTTCATCACAGAAATCAGCAAAATTAACAAGAACGATGACTCGCGTACATCGGCATTATTCAGAAGCTGCGCGCGATGAGTGGACTTCTGCCCATATGGAGCTAAACTATATGTCGATTGCACGAAATAAATGACATGTTTATAATAAGATTACACTTGTACTGTGTACCTCATGACCACATAAATATCCCGGCCAGGTCACCGATTACTGCCCATTAATTTAAACTAACCCCTGAAGGTGGAATAATAAGTACACCTTAGCATCGTTTTTTCGTTGTTGTTGGGTTTATATTTTTAATAACGAAGCACGTTCAATTATAGAGAAGATGATATATTGTTTTCAAAAACTAATCCAAAAAAAAAGAAAGATGCACACATTGGAAATGTTTCAAAAGTTGCAGTCCTTCTTGTCAAGTTTCTGGCTACATGTCTGATAGATGTGCGTCATCACATGCCCACTAGCAAGGTCGCCAGGGTCATACTACCTATGGTGCCAAACACCGATCGTAGAAACTTATCCGTGACGCGTTGTGACGCGAAAATAACAATTGCTTGACAAGCTCAACACTGGGACAGGAACACTCATTGATTGACAAACTCAACACGGTAAAAAAGGGTACCGACATTGATTGACTTTACCTCAACACAATGACATGAGGAACACACATTCATTAACAAGCCCAGCACGGTGACATAGGTACCAACATTGATTGACTTTACCTCAACACAATGACATGAGGAACACACATTCATTAACAAGCCCAGCACGGTGACATAGGTACCAACATTGATTGACTTTACCTCAACACAATGACATGAGGAACACACATTCATTAACAAGCCCAGCACGGTGACATAGGTACCAACATTGATTGACTTTACCTCAACACAATGACATGAGGAACACACATTCATTGACAAACCCAACACGATGGCATAGGTACTAACATTGACTGACTTGAAGGGGACCATTGATTGACTTTCGTTAAACACGGAGATAACGGAACACACATTGAATAACTCAACATTATTTATTTACTTTACCTCAATAGGTAGGGATATAGGGAAACATTTAGTTATTACTATATTAACACATAGATAGGGCAAATGACCACTAGCAACATGCTGAACTACAAGTAATTACACACATTAAATGACTTTAGTTAAACACATTGACATCGGATTGAAGCATTGAACAATTATTGACTGATTTTATGGGATAAACATAATGACATGGAGAAACATCATTGACTGACTACTTGCCCAACACTGTGAGATAACCAAATACACAAATCGTTCTACACCAAACCATACATTCAGAACATTGAGCAAAGTTGACCCTGTTCTAACGTGCTCGCTCGTTCTTTGTTTAATGGATCATTCCTTACAAAGGTAAAAATGAGAAAATGGGCAATACTTGGGAAACAATTCCGCGAATAATATATGCACATTGCAACGCACAAGCCGGCAGACGCTGCATATATTTAAATTAAAATTGACGACCTTTTGTCATACTGCAACGGCATTTCTGGTTATGTTAGAACATCGGGCCAATTTGCTGCGACGAAAAATTGTCTGCACCGCAAATTTCGAAATTTTCATTAAAATACAATTCAAAAGTGACATATGTTTCGTATAGACGTTTCCGGAATGACTCCACAGTTAAACGGCGATTTAATACTCAATCAACGAAATTAAATATACATCAATTGTTGACAAAGTGGCATATTTACGCCAGCCAGGCGTCACAATCAGCGCACTTTGGTGTAATCAACCCAATTCAAAAACTCATTAAGTAGCGTACCGACCATACCGATATATGACCGACGCCATTTTAGATTGATTACTAAACTTACGCGGTAACAAGCTTCTTGAAAATTGCAAATTGCGATAATTATGAGATTACGATGATAACATACAATTTCTTAACTTAATATTGGTATTTATTTTCGGTTGGTGTTAGTACGTAAACATTAGTCTTGTTTCGTTAACACGCTCGTTATCAACAAAAATATACATGGTATGGAAATTCTCCGAGATCTGGCAATACATAGGTGTACCTACCACTTGAGTGACGTCCTCTGATTAGTTATAAAACAATCTAGACAAAGGGGCATCGACTAGACGACTCCACGGTGCTCAGTCATCACAGTGAAAACGTGACCTGCGGGATGGCCAGTACCTTTGATCTTATCGCCAGCCGCTAGCAATCTCCGGACCTGGCGACGTTTTGGAACAGGGCGAAGCTCCAGGCAATTATAATTTAGTAATATCGCCGGAGATAGAGCGATCTCCGTCCCCGTACTGGAATTTAAGATGGCGATGGGTCTAGGTCGTAGTTATGCGTTTAGACATGTGAAGTGACTAGGCTGAAGGAAATAAAGTAGTTATTGTATGGAGATGTCGATAGAGACATCATCTAACCACTTGACCATAGGCCAAATACCTGTATACACCCCCAACACCGGGATTCCAGCTCCAATCTTGATATTTCAAGCGGCGATAAAAACAAAAACAAAGTGCCTGTACGCGAACTAGAAAACAGCGTTTCTGTCTATTTCCTCTTCTTTAACGCCGATTTTCAATCGCAAGTACTGAATAAATTAATTAATTAATACAAAAAAAAGCCTTTTAACTATATTTTAGAATAAAAGTAGTACTGGCTACAACACCAGTCATACGGACAAGTTCGGGCGCAACAGGTGGTCTGTGTCTTTACATGACGTTTGCCGTACTAGTAGTCGCAGTCGAATTTAACAAATCCGTGTTTTTATTAGACGCAACTAAAACGCCGTAAAAACGGGTGTATGGTCTCGGCCGTGACACATTAGAGAAACAAAAAAAAAATGTTTTCGTTAACAATTTGACAATGTATAGGGTATAAAAAGCTTCGTTACACCCGAGAGCGCGCGTTATCCCGAATCAGTGAACTCCATCCATCAATATGACTATTACAATTTACGTTATAAACTCTCTTCAGTTTATCCACGTTGAAAAACAGCAACAACAAAGAATAATATTCAAATCGACCTCCATCCGTTTCGCATCGGAAATTTGATGTGTAAATCGCACAGCAGATACCATATTTTAGTGCGTTTTACTCATCTTCGGGCAGATAGTTGCGACCATTAACACGAGCAAAATCCGGTCACTCGTAACGATGAATATAAAGAAGCCCAACCGCGACGAGCAGTTATTATCGAAACCCTGTGATTATCTGCGAGACTGTCTCGTGGACCTGTTCATTAGCAGGCCTGGGAGGCGTGTCTACGCACAAACGAGGAACACCAAATTACAGAGAAAGTTTTAATGTAAAGAAAATATGCAGTCGTTCGTGTAATTGGTTGAAATTTCACATACATTGAAAAGTATTTCCTTTATATGATTTTGGCAAGAATTCACGATTGAACTAGGAATGTATACAAAATGTACTCAAGATTATTCGTCGTTGAGTGATGACAGGAGAAACATTAAAGATAATCACAAGTTTGGCATGAACGTCAATGACAACATTGACAATTAATGTGGTAATATGCGATACAAATCTGAATCTGTAGATGCTGTGGATCGTCTTTGTGACGTGACTAGGTCGCCTACGAACGAGTAAAACGATTCAGAATCGCCTATATACAACAAATGTACTACAAATCAGACTTTTTGTCGGGACCTTGAATGTTGGACTCCGATCCATCTATGGGTGCTCCGCTACCGACAATAAGCACAGGAAACTCAAACCCCAAACTCTAAATCACTATCTGCAATGAAAAACAATGTTCCAATAACTATGTAAAAGGCGGCCCGGGAATTAGTTAAACCATGACGTCACACGATTATCCCCTCTGTACCACGACACGTTTTGTACTTTTAACATTATATCACCATGGTAATACTTAAAAAATGGACTCCGCTATCGCTGTGTGGGTCTGTTTAAGGTCTTTTAATGTTTTGTAATCTTATCAAAAACTTCATAAAATCGCCATAAATCTTTGAACGGCGAAGCGACGATTTATGCTTCTGGTGATTGCTTTTCTCTCAAGTGTCCGATGTCAGCTTTACCCAAATCGCATTTGGCCGATTAAAATTGCGATTGTCCAGTCTCCAGAGCAACGATGTAATCCTGAAATACGACAGGATACAAGGCTTCAATTGTTTCAAACGGTAGTAAAAATAGCTCTGATAGTTTGCAATTTATTTGCGTCGCCGTGCGTGGCAATATTAAAAGCATCGATTTTTCAATAAAGCTGTCTTATATATTG